TGCCTCCTCCCAGGGCTCCAAGCTGACCACAGTGCTGCCACCCTGGAGGGTGCTGGAAGAGCCACATGTGGGGCCACCTCCCACCTAACTGCTGACTGTGGCTCATACTTGAGAGGGTCAGGGTATCCCTGCAGGTGACAGGAGCAACCCACCCACCTGAGAGCTGCAGAATGGCTGGTGGCCAAGCTGGCTTGTTCAAACGAGAATAATACCAATGACAATTAATATTAATAATTTCAGACAGAAAGACTTGATCAAGTGCTCATTCCCCGAGTAGCACTGCATGAGCCTCTCACTTGTAGCGACTGCTCATCTCATCCATGAAACCATCCCTTGTGTTGAGCATCATTATTATCCCACTCTGGAGAGAAGGAAACTGCAGCCCAAAGAGGTTCATTAACTAATGCAAGGTCACACAGCTTCAGAGTGGCAGCGCCAGGATTTGAACTCAAGCTGCAGGCCCCCGGGCTAAAACCACCTTGCGAGAGAGAAGGCAGTAGAGAGCAGCTGGGCAGGGATTTGTGGCAAGGCTGTCTGAATGCTGCTGGTTTATAATGAGGAAGCCATTTTCTTGTGCCCCACTCCCAGCCCACCTGAAAGACCAGCAAACAGTCTACTGAAGGAGTGTTACCAAAGGATTCGTGTGAATGTATGAGGAAGTGTGTGTGTGTGTGGGGGGGGGGGGGTGCAGCTGTTTCTGCCCGTCTAAGGGACTGGCACACCCTCGACTGCAGGGAGAACTCTGCTAATCAGAGTCCTCTGTTCCTCCAGCCACAGTCACTGGCTCCGGCATGGGCAAGCTGGGCTAGGTGCACCCGTCCTGGGCTATCTGGTCCTCCCTTTTGGGTGGGGGCTTGGAAGCCTGGAGTGACTGAGGCATCTGAGGATATATGTAGAAGAAAATAAGCCCGGAGGCAGAGGGTGAGCTCTGAGAACCCTGTATGAGCTCCTGGATCCAGCTGAACCTGAAGCTGGATGCATACATTTTCATCACATGAACCACTGAATTGTTTTTCTTACTTGAACCATTTGGGTTCAGTCAGCCTCTTGTAATCAGAAGAGCATGACTGAGATAAAAAATGAGGATGGCTCTAGTCTCTGAGGCGCCTCTTTGCTGCAAATGCTTCCTAAAGCAGGCTCTGGGCTCAGTGGTATTCGGGGCTAGAGAAGAGAGATCAAGGTCTCCCAAAGCAAGACTTTCACGGATGCTTTTGGTGTTTGTCCCCAAAGCCTCGGGCCCAGTGCCTCCCCGCCGACACGGGGAACCCAGTACCTCGGAGGACAGTGAGCTTGGCGTGGACCGTGATCTCCCCAACGGAGTTCTGGGCCACGCACTCATACACGTTCTCATCCCGAGGCGTCCGCAGCGGCTGGATCCTCAGCACGGCCCCCGCACTCCCGTCAAACTCGATCGTCTGCCGTGGGCAGGGAAGAGAGGTCAGGGCCAGGCTGGGGTCCCAGGGGTCCAGGGAGGGGAGCTGGGGGCTGTACACACCTGTGTGAGGATGTCCTACGTGTATACACTAAAGGCAGAAAGCTGGGCCTGGGTATGTACAAGTAAAGATGTTATGTGTACATGGGTGTGTGCCATGCACATTAAGCGTGTGTGACTGGCATGTGAAGGCGTGTTGGGTGTGGAAACATGCCTGTCTAATCATGTGCCTGTGTCCAGATTCCTTTCTGTGAGCAGTGGTGCGGGCTGTGAGTCTGTGTGTCAGATAAGACTCAGAGAGGGCAAGGCCCTTCTCAGGGCCACACAGCATGAACATGGCAGAGCAAGCCAGCCTGGCAGGGCCCGTACTGGGCAGGCGGGTGGGGTCACATGGCGGGGAGTGAGTGGGAGAAGGGTCCCGCTGGAGAGGGTGCCCAGCCCGGCTTGCCCGGCCCTGGCTGCCCACGTTACGTCGGGGGAACATTTCTGTGACGACTTTCATGACTGAGCCGCCTTGGCCCCAGGCTACCTCCCCACACCCCGACTCACCTCAAAGCGCTGCGAGTTGACTTTTTTCCCCTTCTTGTTCCAGGTCACCCGTGGCTTGGGGTCACCCGTGGCCTGACACACAAAGGAGGCCACACCTCCCGACACGCCGATCTGGTCTTTGGGCTCTTTGATGAACCTGGGGGGCTCTGGGGATAGAGCAGGAAAAAGAGGGGCTCCAGTGGGCCCAGGTAAGTGGCCAGGACCTCGTGGGGCCATGCAAACATGCCCCCTCAGCCCCCCTGCCTGGCCACGGAGTTACCACGTGAGCTCAACAGGAGGCCTGGAGAGAGGAGGACGGTGAAGAAACGATGCCATTGATTGCTCCTCCCCCCCCCCGCCCCCCCGCAAGGACCTGTGGGTGCCCCGGGGTCTGCACAGCCCTGCCTCACCAACCACCACCTGGATCAGCAGCCACACACACACACTTGTATGTGGACACAGCCTCATGTGGGCCTACACGCTCAGTGCACAGGGGAGGGTGGAAGGGGAGGCCCCCCGAGATTCTGAGGTCCCCAAATTCAGCACCTGGAGGCCCCCCAGTGGTGACTAGCCAAACCCTGAAGGGTCTTTAGTCTGGAAAAGACTTGGCAGGAGATACTTGGTCTAATCCCCTAGTGAGACATGTGGGGAAACTGAGGCACCAAGCAGGTTAGTAACATCCAAGATGAGTGCCACCTAATCCTTCTGACAGTGCTGAGGGGCAAGGCCATCATAACTCCCATTTCACACATCAGAAAACCGAGGCACTGGCCACACAAGACACTTGCTTCAGACACACGCAGCTGAGGAGGGATCGGAAGCAGGCTGGCGCTTGTGCCCACGGTGTCTGCCCCTCACAATGATCTGACATCGTCTCTCCACCAAAGTGTCACCTGGGAACTACTATGTCTTTAACAGCCTTTGAAGCCTCAACTCTGTACCCAGGACAGGTGGCAGGATCCAGCCAGAGTTTAATAACATTGTTTCCTTTTTATTGACTTTTCACAGTAACCTCTGAATTGCCCAAAGGGATACTGAATTTCCATTCACAGTCCAACTACAAGGTGTCTCATAAAATGAATTCAGTTACTGCTGAGATTTTTACCAGCAGACTCAAGGACTGCACATACGAGGTCCCGAGGGGAGTAATCTATATACCCAACCAAAGGGGAGTGATTAAATGAATACTGGGCTCAGCATGAAGTGGAATACTATGCAGCTGTAAAAAGGAAACAAGGATGCTTTTCAAAGGAACTGTTAGGAGGAAAACAGCAAGACATACCATGAAATGAAAAAAAAAGGGCTAAAAAAGTGCAGTGAATGCTATCATTTGTGTGAGAAGAAAAATGAAAGGGGGAAAAGAGAGAAAGAGAGAGAGAGAATGAATTTAGAAATAGTGGCTTCCTCCAGGGACAAAAACCATGTGGCTAGACACAGGAGGAAGGAGCACTTTTTTTAGATTTAGAACTATTTAAAGAGAATTTTAAAAATTTTTTAAAGGATTGAATAAAAAGGTAAGCTAATTAAAGAAAACTATTAAGTAAAAGTTTGGGTCTGAGGAGAGGCAGAAAGAGGCTGAACAACTCCAACTATGGCAATACTGGGCCTCTGAGCCCCCAAAACCAGCGGACAGAGCAGCAGGCCACCAGGTTTCCGCTGGAAACGTCTTAGCTGCTCAGAAGCACCAAAAAGCGCAGGGAAGCTTCGGGTCCCACGGCCGGGCGCCCCGTTTACCCCTCTCACGGCTCGGGCTAGGCTTGGACAAAACAGAGTGCCCATCGGTGATCTGACGGGCCTCACCGCCCTCGTCCAAGGCTCTGCTCCCATTGATGCGACATGTGCCTACGCTGGCATCTCCCCTGAAAATGGGCAGACCCACCGCGTGTGGCCAGTGTGACCTCATTCACCTCCTGTGGATCCCTTCGAGGCAGTGACTGGTAATCCCATGGTACAGACGGGACTACACAGATTCAGGAAGGTTAACAGCCTTGCACAAGGTCACACCGCTCAGAAAGGAGAGCACCTGGATTTGAACCGGGGCCTCTCTGTCCCCAAGACATCTTACGCTCCTCTCACCTCCAGCCTTGAGCCTGACGTAGATGTTTTGCTCCGCACTGAGCCCTGGGCTGGGCCTGAGCCTGGGCTGGGCCGCCGCCCTGGCCCTGGCTGCTGGCTGCCCCTCCTGAGCCTCAGGAATGGTGACGGGGGCCGTAGGGGTCCCTCAGCCAAGTCACGGGGAAAATCACTGCGGCCAGGTCGAGTCTCACTTCTGGGAAAATGCTCCCTCAGAGCCGCTGGACGGAACAGAGCAGCTGCGGGAGGCACAGCTGTTTATCGGAGCTGGGACACCCCCTACACCCACCAATCCGGGGAAGCAGACCCAGGGGGAGCACTGCGCCTCCTCCCCCCTGGAGTCCCTCCCTCCTCTCCTCCCTTCATCTGGCAGCTCCAACCTCAGCTGGGCCAGCACCTACCCTGGGAGCCTTCTTAGGTTACAGCAGGCTGGGTCAGGAACCCCTTTGTCCCCACCACTGCCTGGTGTCCCCATCACAGCCCTGATCCCACTGGGCTGAAATACCCGGCTATGTGCCACAGGGTGGGGTGGGTACAGGAGCTCACTCTCCGGGACCCCATCATACCTCCTCTGTGTCCAGTGACCACTGAGAAAATGGGGCTCTTGACTTTGATGCGTATTAACACCAGGCCCGATGAAGCTGCCTACTCGCTCCTGGGCTCCCCCTCCCTGCCAGACGCCTTCTCGGCCTCTCCCGGTGGCTCCAAGATCCCAGCCAGCCCGGGAGAGCTCTCTAGCCACTGCATCTACCACTAGAAAATTCCTTGTGGATTCTCGGATTCTCTCATTCTCTCCCCTCCTCTTCTTGGCAAAGGAGCCCGGGACCCAAGAAGTATGCACTGGGTATAGCTGCAGTTTGTGCCAGCAAGCGCTCATTTTGTGCTAGGCCTGGTGGGGCTGAGCACTATTCTTCTACCCATGTCACAGACGGGCAAAACTGAGGCTCAGAAAGGGTGAGTGACCCGCCTGGAGTCACCCAGCTCGTGATGGGCAAAGAGCTTAGATTCCAACCCGGCCCTATCTGGCTCCCAAGCCCTGCAAACAGCAGGCTTGATAACTGGGGCCGTGGGTCTTCATTACTGAGAGCACTCCAGATGCCCCGTTTCTTAGATGAAGAGACTGAGGTTCCGAGTGGTGATGCCAACAGCACGGAGGCTGGGAAAGGCCTGATTTCTGTTTTTCCACTTCAGATTCCGCAGAGAAGAATCTGGTGCCAGATCCAGAGACCCACCCACTGTCCTCTTCAACTCTGCCTGGGCCGGCCCACAGCATCCTGGGAAGGCCCCACAGGACCAGGAGCCATTTCCACAGCAGAAATCCCTCGTCCTGGCGCTGGCTGCTCCCCCAGGCTCTGTGCAGCCTGACAGCCCCCACCTCAAATCTCTCCCTGAGGACCTCGGCCAATCCTTGAAGCCGGCAGTGCCAATCTTGGTGCCCATCGCCCCCCTGCAGGGCCCCAGATGACAGGGCTCCTGCTAAACAGACCCACCTACTGGGGTCGCGATGTCCCAGCCCTGAAGATGGAGACCTGGGTTTGCATCTAGCCCACTACCAACGCCTAAAGTCACACAGTAATAATAACTAAGGGCTCCCAAAGGGAACACCCACTGAGCCAGCTCCTGCTACACGCCAGGTGCTGACATCCTGGGTCACACCCATATCGCCCACCTGGTCCCTCAGCTCCTAAGGTCGCTCACAATGGTCTGCCCTCCCCACAGGATCCACCAGAGGGTGCCAGTGAGTCAGCTGCAGCCCCTCCTCTACCCAGAGCCCTCCAGGGCTTCCACCTCCCTAGAGATAAAGCCCAGGCCTCCCCAGGCCCACACAGCTCTGCACAGCCTACCCCTCCCCTCCCTGCCCTCACTTCCTCTCCGTGCTCCAGCCACACAGACCTCCTGGCTGTTTCTCCAACAAACCAGGCCGGGCCCTGCCTCGGGCCTTTGCACAGGCTATTCCCTCTGCTTGGGGCACTTCCCCAGGCCCCTGTGAGCTCCTTCAGGCCTCTGCACAGATGACACCCACTCACTGTGACCTCCCCGCCCCCCATGCCCTCATCTCCCGCTTATCTTGCTCCTGGGCATGTCCACCGTCCTCCCTCCCAGGCCAGGTCAGCCGCTCCCTAAGGGGTGAGATGTTTGCTTTGTCTCGGTGTCTAACCCGGTGCCTGACACAGGGTAGGTGCTTATGTGAATGAACACAGTCCCTCCCAGGTCACATGATCGAGCCAGGATTCGAGCCCAGGACTAGAAGTCTGTGATCTCCATCCCTCATCACAATGGCCACTTTGTGGCCTCAGTTTCCCCACCTAAAAAACGGGGATGAGCTCAGCTCCACCAAGGCCAAGGCTGGCAATTATCAGTGGAGCAAAATGGCGAGCAGTAGATACGTATTTATCCAACCAGTGTAGTTAAATCAGTGGTTCTCAACTGGGGGAGGGGGCGTTTTTGTCTGCAGACATCTGTAGTTGTCACATTGGGGGTGCTCCTGGCACCGAGTGGGTGGGGCCAGGAATGCTGCTCAACCCCCCACAGTGGCCAGGACGGCCCCCTCCCAAAGAATGACCAGGCCTCCATGTCAGCAGTGCCCACAGGGAGAAACCCTGTTAAATAATGAATGAAAAACTAAAAATTCTTAGGGCCTCTGGGTGATGACTAGGTCATGAGGGTGGAGTCCTCCTGAATGGAGTTAGTGCCCTGATAACAGAGGCCATTCCCACTGCAGGGAATAGAGCCCAGGAAGGCGCAGGCCCTGCCCTGGTGGGGACTGCACACATCACAGCCCAGCCACGCCCGGACTTTGGACTGGAGGCAGTTTCATACCAAGGTGGGGAACTCAGGCTCGGGGGCCAGGCAGCCCAGGTTCAAATCTGAGCATGGCCACTTCTTGGGTGTGCCTCAGTTTCCCCATCTGTACAACCGGGATGGTGATAACAGCATTCATCTCATCAGATTATGGTGGTTGATCTGATGTGTTAGGCACTTAATAAAAAACAATGTGAAAACGAGAAAAAGCACCAATGGACGAGACAGCTGTGTGTGTCTCTGGTGTTCTTACCTAGCAGCAATAACTACTATGCTTGTGGTAACGTGGGATTGTGGGCCTACTATGTGCCACGCAGCATAGAGGGCTTATCATGTGTCTTTGTCACAAGAATGTTGGTGGGACAGGGATAATGTTATGAGTCTCATTCAATCAAGGAGGAAATGGCAGCTGAGTCACTAGCCCAAGGTCACACAACAGTTCTTCAGCAAAACCAGCCTGATCAAAGACCCGTTTCTTTCCCTCTGGCCTGACACTGTGTCCCCATGGGTCTTAGTGATGCCTCCTCTAGACCCTTCATAGTGGGTCGGATCTTGGTGCTGGGCCCACAACTGACTCTCATCCTATTCATGTTACTGCCAGAAACGCAGCCTTGCCCATCTCCAAACTGCACCTATCTCTTTCCTCACCTCCATGTGTTAACACCTTTACCAGGAATGCCCTTTCCACCAGCAAACTCCTACAAACCCACAAAGCCCCACTTCCAATGCCCTCTCTTTCCTAAGAAGCCTCCCCTGGCTCTGCCTGGAAAGGTTTGGATGCCTGTGTGTCTGCCACCTGGGTGCTGGTGTTTCTACCTGCAGCAAGGGAAGGTAACTCTTTGGCTTACTCAGGAGTGAGGGACTTCAATTAAGTCCCTGCCTACTCTGAGCCTTAGGTTTCCCTCATTGGAAAATATGGAAGGTAATAGAATTGGCATGCTGGGTTTTGAGAGGCTGGAGAAAGATGAAGCAGGTAAGTCTGTATTTAGCTCTGGGCTTTGTACAGAGTTGATGATGGGGAAGCAGACATTATCATCATTACTGTTATTGCTTTAATAACACCATCGTTATTAGTTACCTCTGAATCTCTCAGGACTCAGTGCATAGTAGGCATTTTACTCAGTAACATTCATGGAGCGCAGAGGCTCCACTTGGCAAAACCAGGAGCCCCACAGGCACACATAAATGCGTGCTCAGACACCCGCACACCCTGCGCCGGGCTCTTACCTTCTGCTGCGCAGCCTCCGACCAGCAAGACCACGAGGCCCACGGTACCAATCACAGGCGCCACACCAGGGCCCCAGGCAGGCGCCATGCTTGGCAGTGACCTGCAACCTCCAACCTCACCCTGGAGGGGGGGTGGCCCCAGTCCCTCACAGAGAGGACTCGAGCCGAGCCAATCGTCAGATGAGGCAGCGTCTGCAGAAACAAGGGAGGGGCCGTGAGAGGGGAGCAGGGGAATCCCGGAGGCCTTCCTGGGGGAGGCAGCAGGAGGAAGGGGGCAGCAGAAGGGTCACAGGATGGGGAAGACAGGATTATAGACGGTGGGGGAGGGACCTAGGGTGATGAAGGGTGGAGAGAAAGTGCTGAGCCCCGACTACAGACGGAACGAACGTTTGTGCCCCTGCCCCAAAGGCATGTTGGAATCCTAACCCGCAATGTGAAGGTATTAGGAGGCGGGGCCTTTGGGTGAAGATGAGGTCATGAGGGTGGAGCCCTCCTGAATGGGATTAGTGCCCTGATGACAGAGGCCCCAGAGAGCTCCCTCACCCCTTCCACTCTGTGAGGACACAGCAAGAAGCCAATGTCTATGAACCGGGAGCTGGACTCTCACCAGACACCAGACCTGCCCGCACGTTGACTTTGCACTTCCAGCTCGCAGAACGGTGAGAAATAAATGTCTGTTGTTTATAAGCCACCCAGTCTCTGGTATTGTTATAGCAGCCCAACTGCCACAGCCCCCACACCCCGCTGAGTCCCAACACCAGACTGAACCCCAGATCTGGACAGAAGCCCTGACTACAGCCAAGCCCCACACCAGAATTGAACACCAGCTCTAGCATGTGCTCTGAACACCCCATTTCTCCCCCACATAGCCTGGAACTCCGGCAGGATGAGGTTCCAGCTAACCCTGCCCACTGTCCTACGACCCGGCCCGTTCGGCCACATCAGATCCTCTGAGCACACACCTGTTGGTCCTGCCCTGCTTTCCCACCTGCTGTGGCTCCCGCCGCTCCCGGAGGAAGCCGCTCCTGCTGACAGCCACACCGCCTGAGCCCAGTCTCCCCTACAAGCCTTTGCCCCTGCTGTGCCCTCAGCCAGAAATGCTGCCCCCTCCCTCCCAACACATGACAAGTCTCAGCTCAGTTGTCACTTCCCCTGGAACCCTCCTTGCCCCTCGAAGGTCAGCCCCCCACCCCATTCCACATCCCACGGCCTCAGAAATGACTAAGACCATCCTCCACAACATATACCCTAGTTGGTAAATTAAATGGAATGTTAATCACTCAGCGTCTGTTTCTCCCACAAGAACCTAAACTCTTCTTAAAGGCAGAAGGACCCCTTGTTGCAAGAGCAGAACCCTGGCTGGCCCCCTCCCCAGTCCCCACTTTGGCCAGAGTCACGGCAGAGGGTTGGGGGGTGGGGGGCAGGGAGAGACCCAAGGATAAGGCCCTTTGGCCAGGGCAACCCTGCACCCACCCCAGGCCGCACTCTGGGTGTGTCTGGGCCATGGCCACAGGGTCGAGTGCCACATAATGACGGGGCAGCCCCTATCATCTGGCTCCCAAAATACCCTGCTGCGGTCACCTCGCCCAGCCATGGAGCGGCCCCAGGGGAGACTGGGTGGTGGCAGGTCATGACCCAGGGTAGAGGGTGAGGAAGCTGGGATGGGGGGTGGAGGTAGAGGGGCTCAAGCTGCACACAGTCAGACTCGTAACTGACGTGCAGTCAGAACAGACTCAAAGAAGGAATCTACCCAGTCAAACCATAGACAGGCACTCAGTCAGACCACAGACAGACAGGGAGACCAGAAACAGCCACAGATGTATGCACAGTCAGGCAACAGAGATGGGGCCACACGCAAAGTCAGACAAATAAAATGTGCGCGTAGTCAGACCACGAACACAGGCAGGCACAAAATTAGATCTCAGACACGCAGTCAGATAACATACACACACAGCATCACAGTGGGGCAGGGACTACGCGTACATGGCCAGGCCGCCAGCACAGGCAGATCAGAGAGGCACAGGTCCACACAGAGGCCACAGACACACAGCAGACAAGAAACTCACACAGGGTCACAGGCAGGCAAAGAACACTTGCACACAGCAGACCACAAACACATGCAGGAACAAAATCAGTCCTCAGACAAACACAGTCAGACAAAATACACAGGTAGGGTCACGGTGGGGCAGACAATACACATACACAGTCAGACCACTAGCCCAGTCAGATCAGAGACACAGCCAAACAACAGACATGCACAGGGTCACAGTCAGGCAAGCAATACAGGTATATGATTGGGCTGCAGCGAAATATAAATATGGAATCAGGTCAGAGATCTGCGGTACACAGGAAGGTAAACTAACACACGGACCCCAGACTGAGATGCGTGCACACAGTCAGGCTACAGAGACAGGCCACACAGCACACCACGCTTCCACCAAGCCAGACAGTAATCCAGACATACAAAGCCAGATCCCCTCATCCACACATACATGCAGACAGGCATGTACACAGACTATAATACACACTCAGACACAACCAGTTGGGGACTGGGCAGGGGGGAAACTGGAACTCGAGCACAGTCCCTTGCTCTGTACCCCAGCCATGGGACCTTTAAGAGTAAAAGTGGCCGATGAGGAAGGTGGAGGCCCCACTGAGGCCAGGCCGACCACAGCAGCTGGCCCCACCCACAGATGCACATCTGCTTGACCACATCTGGGGAGAGGGCTCAGGCCCAGACCACTTTGGTTAGCTGGGTGGGCCCTCAGCAAGCCTCTGGGGAAACCAAGGCAGCACAGCAGCCTGCAGCACGGAGGGGCTCGAATGCAGGGCTGCCCAGCCTACCATGGGCCCCCAGGGGAGTGACATCCCTATTCCAGCCTCAGTCTCCCCACCTAGGATACCAGCTGGCAAGGGCAGGGGCCACCTGCAGGGAAGGCCTGGTGTAGAGGAGGCCCGAGCTACAGCTGCTTCCCCTACTCTCCAAGGCAGCTCCCATTACCCCCTGGCTCCTGCAGCCCCAGCCTTGCTGGGCCCGTGCCTTCTGATGTCCGGGCAGGATGGGCTAATCCAGGTGCAGGCGGGCCGGGCCAGGAGCTCCCGGCTCCCTCTAACCCAACCTGCTGGGGTCTGGTGTGGGGAGGGAGAGGACAGCATTGGGAGCTTTCAAGGCCTGGATGATGAAGTTGGAATGAGGGTGGCACCCAGGACAGAATCGGAGAGGAGAGGGTCAGTCACCCCTCAGGAGATGGACAGTGGCAGTGCCTCTTCAGCCCCCGTGAACTCGGGAGGAACTTGCTGTGACAGAGGTTAAGACCCTGCAAAGCCACGACCCTCCTGCTTTCTAAGAGTCCCCGAGTGTGGGGTCATCTGCAAGGGACCTGGGGAGAATAGAACAAGTCCTGTCGGCTCTGCCTTCAAAACCTATCCCAAATATGCCCGCGGTTACTTTTGCCTCTTCCTGGTCCAGCTCCATCACCACCCTCCTGGGCCAATGCACTCGCACCCTCAACCCCATAGTCTGTCCTCACCCTAAAGCCAAAGGACCCCTGTGAGCACCTGGGTCACATCCCATCCCTCCTCTGTCCACAGCCCTTCTGGGCTACCCACCTCCCTTGGGGTAAAAGCCCAAGTCCTCCCCCAACCCAGAAGGTCCTGCAGGACCTGCCCCTGGCCCTCCCTGCCCTCTCCCCACTCGCTCACCTGCTCCAACCACAATGGCCTCCTCACTGTTTCTCCAACAAACAGGTATGGTCCTGCCCCAGGACCTTTGCACTGGCTGTTCCCTTGCCTGGATCTCTCTGCCTCCAGGTTTAATGTTAATATTATTACTTGGCTAAGAACTAAAAGGTGAATGGAAATGGGGGTGGGTGTCATCCAAAAGAAACAGCAAGAAGCAGTACCTAGAGGCCCTAGGAGAGAGATGGGAAGAGATTAGGGCAGAAACACAGGACAGCGAGGAGCCCCAGGCAGCTCTGGGCAGGAAGAGACGTGGCCAGGTTGGCACCCAGCCAAGTCTCCCTGAGCCTCCTTCAGGAAAGCAGCCTGGGGCACCAGCCCTGCCACTGCAAGAAAGGGAAACTGAGGCAGGCGTGGTGGGGCTGCGGGATACCACAGTCCCCGAGTTCCCGGAAGATGGTGTGGCTGTGAAGACGGGAATAGCCTCTGGTGGGAGCTGTAGGGAGTAACGGGCAGCAAATGAGGCTCGGCCAGGGCTGGAGAGGAAGGAAAGGAGCAGCCCCGGGACCTGGAACCAGGGTCCAGGGAGGGTCCTGCCCAGCTGTCAGCTCTCTCTGTGCCAGGTGCTGAGCTTGTCCACCATCTGCTCCCAGCAGCCGGTTTTGGGGTGGAGGGGTATGCCCCCCTTTCAAAGATAAGAAAACTGAGGCTCACAGAGGAGGTCCTAGGCACTTGCCCCAGGTCCCCAGCTGGGTCCTGGTTCCTCTGGACCTTGAGTCCAGAGCCCATATTTAATCACATGACTGTCCTTCCTTGGCCACTGGGATCTCGGGAACGTGAAGGACCCTCTCAGGGCCTCATACAGTCTGCTGGGCAGCCACTGGGGGACCCCAGCCTGTGCTAATGGGGGACGAGTGGGCGCCCATTCCAGCCAGGCGCCGGGGCGTGGGTCACGCGATCCATGAGCCGGCCTTGTGTACCCACGCAGAGCAGGGAGCATAAAGGGGTGATTATGACCCAGGACTGCGAAGCCCACAGGCTCTGTCACCCGCCGAGGCGGGGTCTCCTGGGCCTGAGGCTGCCCAGGGCCTCTCTCTGCCCCACCTGAGTGTTCATCCTGCGCAACTCTGACCCTCAGGAGACGTCCCACGGCCTTGGCCCGGGGAAGGGAAGCTGGTGATGCTGGCAGTGGGCAGTGGGGCCGAGGACACCTGGTGCTGGACCACCTCTCCGCCCTCACACCCACCCCTACGCTCTCCCTCCCCACCGCCTCCCTTCTGGGCCAGGAGACTTTCCTCAGGACAAAGCCCCAAAGCCCCTCAAGGGCAGGAGCCGGGCCTCGCTGGATAATGTGCCCCCAAAGTGCCCAGCAGGGTCCAAGCTCTAGCTCTGAGTCACTGGTGGGCCTCCACGCCCCCCACTGGGAAACGCTCAGAGTTAGGCTGGCCCCACCACCTTCCAGAACTGGGGCGAGGGAGCTGCCTTTGACTATCGATTTGTATCAGGGGCTGTCCCAAGATCAGGAGAGGAAGAGCGAGCCCCAGAGGGGGGAATCAGTAACCCCAGCTAGATGTCCCCGTGTGCCAAGCCCTCTGACATGCTCCGTGAGCTTCCTTCTGTTTGACATTTGAGGAAAATGAACCTCAGAGAGGGGCTGCTGCTTGCCAAGGGTCACCGAGCACGGAAGGGGCTGGGCTGGGATTCGAAGTCAGAGACTGGTTCTCATTCGAACCCAGAGCCTGCACTCCCCGAGTGCCCAGGCTGCCAGGCTCGCTCCTACCAGCATGTCCGTCCCCACACTGGCTTCGTAGAGGAGCTTGAGATACCAAGATCTTGGCGCACCTCTACCCTCCAGGGCTCGCCAGCTCCTCCGCTCAGCGTTCTGGGACCTTCCCAAAAGTTCCCACTGTTCCCAGAATGCAGTGGTCTGCCTGGGGCCTCTGGGCCTTTCTTAACTGAGTCCATCTCACAGGTATACCCTTCCCCAGCTGGTCCACCTGTCAACTCATCCTTCAAGCTGAAGCCACAGATCCCCCCACCCCAGGACCCACCCTCAGCTCTGACCCACACCCCTGCAGCTGGGAGTGGCTATGTCTGCTATAAAACCCCCATGGGTCTCATCTACGTCCATTAAAATCCAGAACTGCTGACCCCAGTGCCTTGCTTGCCCCACTGGCCTCTGGTTCACACAGGGGTATTTGTGTATGGTGTTCCTTTCCCCAGCACATCCTCCTTCCCCATCAAACCTCAGCATTCGCACTTATCATGTCACCTCCTCCAGGAAGCCCTCCTGAATGCCCCAGGCTGGATCAGGACCCACTGTGGGCTTCTCCAGCACCCTGTGTCTCCCCTCACAGCTCTGCTCCCATCATGCGCCTGTCATCCTCCGGGATGGGAGCCTTCTCCCCACCCTGAGAACGTGGCAAGGCCCCAGCATGTACTGGATGCCTACTGCATGCCTGGCCCCACCTGGCACTTTACCCACATCATTCTTGTGGTCACATCCATTGCAGAAGTGGAAACTGAGGTAAGAGGGAGACACTGCAGGCAGGGGAGGCCGGCACAAACACCGCCAGCTGCAACTTCCATCTGCTCTGTCAGCTTGAGCCTTAAGGGGTAGAAGTGAGACTCGGGGAGGGGCAGGCAGGACATGGGGGGCTGGGCCCCTGGCGGGAGAGTAGCAGGAAGTTCCTCTGAAGGGCGGCCCAGGACTAAGGAGAATCTTGGGAAGCAGGACTCTCAGGCAATAGAAGGGGTTGCTGAGGCAGAGGTTTGGTCGGCCGATAACGGGAGGCACAAAGGCATGGAGCTTGGGGTCGGGAACGGGAGGTGAGAAGGTGGGTGCTGATGTGCTTGCCCTGACCCCCCAGTTTATTAAAGCCCCAACGAGACACAGCGTCAACCTGGGATCCACAGGCCAGAAGGGCGCAGGGACAGATGGAGAAACTTTCCGTGAGTTTTAGGGGTGACTACGAGCAGAGATCTCAGTCACATACCCCCCCCCACCCCCCATGGTCCAGCCGCCTCCTCCAAGGCCCAGGTCCCCGAGGAAGGAGGCAGAAGCCCCCAGCAGAGAGCCGTGGGCTGGCAGCTCAGGCTCCGCCCCCAGGAGGTGGGGGAGGAGAAGGGCTGGGGGCCAGTCGGGGGAGGGGACCCCGCGGAGCATAACGGTCAGGAGTTTTCCAAAGTGAGGGGGACAGGCCTGAACGGGGGTGCGCACCGGGCAGTGCGGGCTGGCGCGGACTCTGGAGCGCGGCCGGGCCAGGCCCGAGCGGGAGCGGGTGAGTGGGGACGCGGGAGTACCCCCTCCCCTCCCGGGAGCCTAGAGGGGGGACAAGGAGGGAAACAAAGCCGAGCGCAGACTGGCCCTAGAGGAGCAAGAGAACCCCAGGGGCACTCACCCCGCGGCTCAGCTCAGAGATCGGGGTGCCCCGCGGCAGCCGGTCCCCCGGTCCCGCGTCCACTCTGAGCGGCGTCCACTCTGAGCGCTAGCACCGCGCGCGCAGGGAGAGGCCGCAGCCCT